GAGGTGGGATAGGAGGGCGTCGTCGTTTGTGGCGGCGCTGCTCACCATGGCCATCTCCAGCTGCTCCAGCTTATGTGCAACGTCGGCCATGTCCGACGACCGAACCTTGTACCCCAGCGCTGCCAGCAGCTCGTCGACCTCACCGCCCTCCTCAGCCGCCCTCATCGTCGTCTTCCGCTTCCCACGCTCCATCTCCGGCTCCACGGCGTACCAACCCCCTCCGCCGTGGAGAGTATCTTGATGACCTCGTTTCATTTTTTCCTTCTTTTTCTTGAAGTAGCGATCCGAGTGGCCAATCCTTCTCTTTCTCTCCTGTGAAAAGGCTCGGTCGCCACGACGAGCTGTGACCGAAGAATAAAATGAAGAAGAATCAAAGGGCGTGACTGGAAGGAACAGATCGAGAGAGAGAGAGAGAGAGAGAGAGAGCGAGAAGGGGGCGTGGGAACAAACTTGGGCGCTGGCTGGGATGAATATGGTGGAACAAATTAATCAGGAGTCATCTCTCTCTCCCACACTGAACTGATTCCACCCTCCTTCCCTTTCACAAGCCCTTAGAAATCATCCACCAGCTTAAATTAATCCCTTAAAAAGAAAATAATAAAATAATAAAAAAACGCATCTCGGTAATTGTCTGTGTGCCACAAACCCAAGAAAAAGGAATCGTACCACCACCACCACCGCTAACTTTCCTGTGTTGTTATAAAAGTTGCTACAGCCTGCTGCAGACATCTCTGCATATGACAATCCCACCACTCCATCTGGACTTTGACGTTTGCGTCGACCATCCGATCCCCTGCCACACTCTCTGTTGATGTCCTTTAGACGCCCCCAGTGCAGGAGTGCTGGATAACCATGAACTTACCGCCTTTCCGAAGACAACAAACAAAAAAAGGAAAAGGTTTTCGCTTTTATCCTTCACTCATTATATATTTATTTGTTCCCGTATCTTTTGCATATTTTTATGCATTTGTGCTATTGAGTCGTATATCTATGAGATAAAAATATATATATCTTACGGGTATTTTTCTTATAACAGAGAGCAGCTTATCAGCAGTGGCAGAAACACTGCACCATGGAGGTACAGACCCCCACCAAACAGCCACAGAGAGAGAGAGAGAGAGAGAGAGAGAGAGAGCGAATCGACGGTGTGGGCAAGGGAACCAGCGCTGCACCCACGTACGCAGGGTCGAGGCCAGCTGTCACTGTCACACTGAATTTGGCAGTGGACCACTCCACTGTCCTTTAGGGCCCCGCTTCCCCACCCGTTCACGACGGGGCTCCCTCCCGGTTGGGCTCACGGGATGAGACGCCGTTAGTCACCGGGGCGCCAATCCTCGTTACCGTACGTCATGGTTGATGGCATCCGTAACGGCCTCGATGAACCGTCCGGCTGTTCTCGACCTTTGACCCTTTTCCCCGATCGCCTTCCGACCCATCACCTTTCTTTATTCCTTCGAAGGGAGATGAGTTGCTACTTTCATGCACCGCTTTAATAGATAGCTACGTAATTTTCTATGCCAAAAGAGTTCCGCACCATTTTTTTTTTCTCTCTTTTATCTACATGACCTGGCTTCGCTATCTCGCAGCGCGTGGAAGTCGTTCGACGAAATGCCGAGGATAAGGGATCGTCCAAATTATCCCTCGAAAAGCCCAACATCCACTCTTCTCCGCCGTTGCCATTGGCAGGTACTTCCAGGGTCAATGGAACTTCACTCCTAGAGAAGTGTCCGTCCGCTACGTTTCACAATTTTGGTGGACTTAAATGATATGTTCTGTGTCGATTGGTGTCGATTGATTACCGGGGCTCTGAATAATTGGATCCAAATGCTATCCATTTCAGCCTCCTGTTCGGTTCTCGTACGAGTCCGGTGGCATTCAATCGGATCGACATGACCGGCCCCGAAAGCAAAGCGAAACAGTTCCGTGCCTTATCCTCCTTCCCCCTCCGTTCCCGATGCGCTCTGGCGCTGACGTCGTTCCGGCCCCATGGCAACGCATCCACCACATGATCTATTCACGTGTCCAGATTCTTCCCGCACGTGGTCCCATTCTCTGACCCCACCTATCCCTCTCGATCCTCCAAGTGCTCGACAAAAATCCCTCGTAGTTTTGGGGAGAGAGAAAAACAAGTTGGTTGCGTACTCGTTCGTGATTGGCTGACGTCCGCGGTCCCGCTTTTGTGGGTCCCGCGCGCAGGGTGCCTCTGCAGGCCGAAGCCGGATACGGCACGAGGCGGTGGGCCCCCTCGCGGCTGCTTATGTCCAGCGATCACACTTGATTAGCTTAAAGCAGCACGGAAAACAAACGATCGGAAAGGCTCAGTTTGGTGGCTTAGCGGATGGCTTCACCCTCTCTCCCTCTTCCACGCGTCACGCGGATGGGAAACGAGGCCAAGGAGATGAGAGCGTGATCGACGACGCGGACGTGCCGTCGAATTCCGACGTAGAGAATTGCGAGGGGACATTAAGAATCGTGCAACCGAGCCGCCTCCTCTCTCGTAACGTTGTTGCGACGGTCTATTTAAGTAGTGTGCATTTGAATAATTAGTCGATGGTAGTCTACCTGTTTGGAGTGAGTCAAACGGAAAGCAAAAACAAAGGGGCGACAATTTGGTTGTGTGTCATTATGGGACCGAGGAGAGGCTACAACGATAGAAATATTCTAGCAGCGATCGACTTCACATGTATTAAAGCTTATTCTATATGCTTTTGCTTGGTACTTCGTGCTTGAGACGTGGTCCGGCGATGAGTACGAGAAGCCAGGCCGCAGCATATGATATAGGTTGTTGTTCTTTTTTCTGAACGGCAAAAATAAAGACGACGATGATGTCGATGATACGTATTTGACAAGGATAAAATTATCCTTTTTGAACTTTTAGAAATATAGTATGTGGACATCGATTTTTATTAAACTCTATTGCATCAAATTTATCATGTCATGTTGATAATTGATAGGGCACATTTTGATATCGTCCATGTGGACTCAGACAAGCAAACACGACGGTGCAGACATGAAACTTCTACGCCAATGTGACATGCAGCACACACGTGGCGTCGCAGACTCCATCGAACAATCGCTCGCTACTTCCTCCGTACGAAACAATATCATCATGGTACAATCGCCCCGGAAAGCTCGGGACAACGCTACGTGACGTCGGTCAACGCTCGCACAGAAGCTTAAGTCGATCGTCCGAGGAATCGATCTCGTACGATCAATTCGCCCTCACAGATATAAAAGCCAACCCTCCCTAATCAAGAGGAGGAGGCATTTCGAACTCTCAGCTCTCTCATACATACTATTGACTTTGAGCTTCGGAGGGATTGAGTCGAAAAATCTCACTCTCAACCTTGACCTGTGTGCAGGAGCTTGGCGACGAAGAAACAGGTCACTCGCCAAGAGAGAAGATTGCATTCGGGAGATAAGACTCAAACTCAACTATCACCCGAGCGTCCACGTGGGCGACCCTACGCATTGTGGACTGGACTAAGTCATGTTGACTCCTCGACCACGGCGTAAAGGTTCACTAACAATAATCATCTCAACAAAAAAATTCTCTTAATAATTTATGATTTAAAAAATTATTCTTTAATCGTTTGCGACTACAAGTAGTATTTTTTTTTCTTTATTTCCTCTCAAAGCCTTTCAGCTCTTGATCCTAAATTTTAGGAACGTAGGTATTGAAAGAATCGAGTAGGAAAAAAAAAATCTGATGTTAATCTTCTTCTACAAGACTTGGATGTGCTAGGAGGAGCTTGGCATATCATGAGGAGTTCAAAATCCTAACAATCCGGAGCTCCAATTTGACACTTTGGTTCCAATTAAGCTTATAGGGGGATTCACCTTCTTTCATTTTGTGCTCGAACCGAATTTAATCATTCTAGATATCTCTTAATTAATAAATTTTTGTAGATAATAATATCATTATACTTCAAAAAGAAATTAAAGAAGTAGCTCGTTAGTTTTAGGATGAGACTCTCACTTGAGCTTGTAATAACAGTAAGCTCTCTCCCGGAGAGAGAGAGAGAGAGGAGTGGAAGCCAAGACCTCCACCAAGTATGCTCAAAGTAGTGGAGCATTTTGGCAACGATGCTATATTTTGATCGACTGATTCTTCATTGTTTTGAATGTTTCTCGGAGGTTACACCAGCATGCTCAAAGCAGTCAAAGGCTTGATTTGAAGTTTAGGATTTAGGGTCGACTCAAACCATTGTCGACCTTCTCTTTACTGATCCTGGCATCGAATCTAGTTTATCGAACAATCTTCCTACTGCAGCCAGCTTTGGTCGAGGTTGGTGACGGTATTCCGTTCTCGTCATCCACATTTCATTTATAATGGACTAATAGGAGCCTTATTATGCCTTGCAACTTTTAAGCTTGAATCTTTCTAACGATGTCACGTCATAGTTTGCTTTGATGAGCCCCATCGATAGCCAAATCAGCAAAAGATATTGATTGCCTTAATATCGAGCAGCTATTGTTGTGGATAAGATATTATAAGAATATAAGTGTGACATATTTTCTTTACTAACCTATCTCATTTGTTGATCATTTTTATGATGCGACGCATTCTAACAAGTCAATTGAACCGACCGTCTATGAATTATATTTTAGAAAAATACAATGTATCTTCGTAATCCACAAAATGCAATGAAGTATGTCCGTCAATTAGAATATCTTATCATATTATAATAATTCGATCAGTTTTAATGACCGGATGGGGAAATGACAAGCTTTAAAGAAAGCCATGATACAGATACGTACTCTACGTTCGAAGCACTAATCTACTTTTGACCAACTCTGCATCGGCGACTAATTGGATGGAGGCGGAGATTATTTGAGCCGCGTAATTGCGAGAGAAAGGGTGGGGAGCGGTTCGCCCGTCTCCATCGCGACAGGCGACGGGGAATCTCCACCAATCACGGGCGTGGGCCCCACCGACGCACCTCATCGACAAGCTGACGTCGCCCCTGACAAGATTCAGGGGTGGCTCAGCACCCCCCGCTTCTCTCGCAAGACATCCTCCCTTCTCCTCGTGTGGACCGGACCGCTATGCTCACGCCCTCTCCCGCCGCACAAATTCCGTGCCAAGAAACCAGAGATTTCGCCACTAGGTAGGGGCGAAGAGCGGTTTCCGAGGGCTCCGCTGGTCTCGAGATCAGTACAGAGAGGGGCGCGGGCGATGCAGCGTCAAAGGGCGATGTCGTGGAGGAGGGTGGGGAAGGCGGCGCAGGGTCTGGCCGCGCACGCCCTCCTCTTCTGCTTCACCCTCTTCGTCGCCCTCAAGATAGACGGCCGCATGTCCTACTCTTGGTGGTCAGTTCCTTTCTTCGCCTCTTGCCCTTCCTTCCGCTCCTTCCCTAATTCTTTCGAGGTACAGATTGCATGTTTCGTTTCTTGGGGGTTTCGGGCGGGATCCTTCGCCATAGTGTGCGATTCTTGGAAAGAAGACGCCGGGTCGCGCTTCTGATGGGTTCGGGTAGGTGGTGGATTTGACCAACTGGGGTCTTATGGACGGCGATGGGTGGGGAGGATTGAGCGGAGCTTTCAAGAAACGTTATTGGCTATATGCTAAGCTTTGTGCACCCTCGATTTAGAATTAGGAAAGCCGAGTCGGAGGTATGCGAGGGGGATCTCTGTGGCTAATTCTGTTTCCTCCCCTCCCCCCACCTTTTTTCTTGGTGCATCTCTTACGGAGCATATACGTATACATAGAGATTTCCCATAAAGATTATGGGCATGCATCAATGAATAATGACTTGGATTTCCTAATAACGCAAATGAAGAATTCTTGTAGCCAATTAGAAACGTGGCTTTGCCATTGCTTAAAGCGAGGGGGCATGTTCACTGTGTTATTTCTTAATCTTCTTGTTGGTCCTAATTTCCTTTTCTTGGTGCTGCTTCACTCATTTCTCCCTCCCCTCCTCATCCATAATACTTATCTTATTCTTGATCAATTAGAAGAAGAGCCTACAGTTGTTATTTTCACATCATTGATCAACCTTGTCTGTCTATCTGCATCTTAAAGCCTCATAGTCGTTGTCATCTTATGGTGTTCTCTGATGCTAATGATTCTGTTTTTGTTATCACATTGGGAAACTTACTGTCAGAGCACTGTCAGTTGATATGTGAGAATAGCAAATTTCCGGTTGTCTGTGCATAGGGGAGGATCCTACATTTCTTGGTGACTGAAATTAATGTTATAATCTCTCTCCACAATTACCCATGTGAGTTTTCCAGCAGAAGAAGACTGCATCAGTGCTAGTCAATGTTAGGATAGACTATAAAGTGCTTGTGAAAATTGTTATTACTAATTTTGATTGTCAGGTCATCTTTTCACGTTCGCGATTGATGAATTTGCTAGTCATATACACGATAGATTCGAATGATGTATGTTAATCAGTGACAATATTTGTTCAATTAAGGAAACTTTCTTTGAGATTATTTCCTAAATTGAGTTATGGAGACAAACCTATAAACTAAATGTCCTAGACTAATTAGGACTAAAACTGATTATACGAAATGTAGTTCTAGAAATACCAATAAAATTAATAGTGATGTAATTAAGATGGAGGGACAAGAATTTCCTGTAAGTTTTTGGTTTTAGATATTTTAGATCTATTATTTAAGAAAGAGAGATCGATGAAAATATTGTTCATAAAAAAAAATGGGTAGGTTAAAATTGAGAGAGTTGTCGTAAGTTTTGTGCGATTGACATGTTACCTTTGAATTAAAAGAATAAATTATATTGTAGGGTCAAATATGCTTTATGGATTTAGAGTATTCGACAACTAAAAAATATGCAAGAAGAGTTAGTTTAGCTTAGATGAGAATGCTGAGGTGGAGAGCTGCATGATTATTGGAAAAAATATATTGATTTTGGAATAGTTAGGTATTGCTCCAATGGAGGAGAGAATGAGAGAAAAATATGTAAGATAGTATGAACACATTCAAAGGTGTTAAATAGTTTGCTTAGATGATATGAGTCGATTAGGATTGGTATCGGGAGAGGCAAAGGGAGACCTAACAAGATTCCATTAGAAATAATAACAAGAAAATTGAATGCTCATGCTCTTGATTCAACTAAAGATATTGTATTATATAGTGCTAACAGGTGGGAAAAGATCAACCACATGGTAGTTTGGGCTAGTTGTTGTTATCTATAAGGATCAGTATGCCGGGGTAAAGCACGTAGCATCTTATGTAAGCCACTGATAAAATTATGCTTGTCGTGAATTGCACAATTATACGATACTGTTCTTAACAGTGTTGTCCATGCATTGCTTTGGGAACATATCCAACCTTTTTTATGTTATTCATATGGAGCATGATGCTGAGCTATAACACTTCCCTCACAATATATTTTTTCTTCATTTTCCATTTCTTTATGTCAGTCTCATTTCTTGTCTGATGAAGCAGGATAATATTTGTCCCTCTTTGGCTATTTCATGCTGTTGTAGCACGAGGGAGGTTTTCCTTACCTGCTCCATCGTTGCCTCACGATCGCCATGTATGATTGAACTTATTGTTATATTTGTCTAGGTTGTGTTGTGGTTGTAATTTGTATACTATATTATGTGGGTGGCTGGTAATATGGGTCTTTTGTGATGGTGTACTGACAGTGGTTTCTTTTTCTACAGTGGGCACCTTGTCATGCTGTTGTTGCAACACCACTGCTAATTGCATTTGAACTTCTTCTTTGTATATATCTTTATAGCATAAATGGTAAGTTAATAAGGCACACATTAGTTAATTTGGTCTTCCTCTGTACTAAATTACAGTCTAGATGAAATTTATTGACATACACTGAACAAGCCATTAATGTGCAAATGCATATTTGATGCATCCATCATAGGCTTGGGAGTCTTGAACTCTCTCCTTTGGTACTTTACCTTATCTTTTCTATATGGATTTTCCTGCAGTAAGTGCCGAACGTGCTATTAACTTAAAGGTCGTTTTTCTTCCGCTTCTGATCTTGGAGATAATCATCCTTGTCGACAATTTCAGGTACTTTGTTTCTACTTGGCCATTAAAATATATTTGTATATATTATGGAGCTCAGTGGTTGGAAAAGATACCCAAATGGTTGCGACATGAACTGAGTTTTATTTTTTGGTTGCACTAGAGGTAGCCTGATGTGGATTTTTTTATGGCAAGTTACCTATATTTTAAGCTGTGTGGAGTCTTTATGAATATCAAAATTTTCTGCAAACCACTGGAATCTTAATCTTTTACGAGTTCTTATGGTTTTAAGCAAGTCATTACTTTGGTTTGTTGGCACAAAACTCAGCATAGGTGTGGGAGTAGATCAAAGCTAACCTTTATTATTGTCATAGTTCACTATATTATCTGATATTAATATGCATTTCCTGGTCAGCATTGGTATCGGCTAAGTCCCATCCATTTCAATCGAATTCTCAGTTTTATTGCCTAAACGATGTCAACAGTAGCTGGAATTGTCTGAGAGTGATTGGATTTGGTTAAATTTGGCTGATCTGGAACAGTTTCAGCCAATTTGTCAACCTCAACATTAGGAAATGCTGCTCTTCATCAAGGGAAATAACTTCCAAACAGGAGCTAAGAGATAACTAAGGCTAAACTAAGTTAATTTTATGGATGCATAAAAGTGATGCAAGTGTTTGTTTTTATAGCTGACTAAGAAGAACTATGGGAGAATTTTTTTTTTTTAAATCCCATCACCTATGACATCTTATCTAAAGAGACATCTAGTACCTTCTAAGTACAGGTTTAAATAGTTAAACAAATTCCTTAACCTAGACTATATTCATAATAGGATTCTCGGGTATTAATTGAACTTAAAATAGGGTTATAAAGAAGTACTAAAAGTAAGTTTGTAAATTCATCTAAAATCACAAGAAATTTTTCTAAACAATATGAATATACTACTAGGAGCAAGGTTCACCATACCGCAACATACCTCTCGTTATGGGCGGTACGTACCAATCCGATAAGGGACTGGTATGAGCGGTATATACCGGTTTGTCAGTATGTCCCATCGTACCGTGTGTCGGTATGTCGGTACGGTTTGATACGTATCATACCGATGGCTGTTTGGTACACCGGTATGGATCGGTAAGACGAACCATGACTAGGAGTGGTTGGGAATATATGGACTACCCTCTCTTAACTAGGAGTGAATTGAGATGGTGTTTTCTTCACTCCTATACATGGTAAGAGTACCCTAAAAGTATCTTTTAATTGATCAACTTGTTGTACACAAATTCAACGCATTTTGCTAGTAGAGGTTGAAGTGAGCTACCCGTAAGCTGGTTGGAGCTGCCTTAAGTTTGCTCAGGCCCATTATGGTTAGGCTAGCCTCGGTATTGGTTGATCATGCTGAACTTGACTCAGGTTGATGTGGCATGGGCTCGTGATGATGATGAGGGGTGTTAGAAGTGATGAGTCTGACTAGCATTTTCCAATTTGGTAAGGAGACAATGCTAGATAACTTTACTTCACAAAGCATAAAAAGTAATATTCAAAGATGGTATTTAGGGTTACAAGGGAAAATTAAATCTTTCCACCCTAACCCAATGAAGAAGGCACCTAGAATTCTCAAAATATGAATCTCAGTGGTAACAGAACTTTGCCCAACCTATTCCACTATAATGGAACTCTAGGACACAAATATGACTATCTTGACTAACTAAATTAGCAGACAAAAACCAAATTGAAATAACAAAAGAATAGAATAGGCCATAGTGATACTACTAGAAGCTAGCAACGAGACTTCGGTAGCCCACTCCTTTTCGAACTTCCATTCCTGGTCTAACTAGGATACACTCTTTAAAAACTGGATAGGCCTCCTTTATATCCTTTGCCTAAGGTATTTCTATACCAAGCTGGACGTGACTCATACCATGCTAGATTCAGCTCTTTTGTGCTAACTCACTGGATTGATTAAATAAAATATTGTACCAAGCTGTACGAGCTGAAGCATGCTGAGCCCACTTTTTTTTTTATACTTTTCTTCGGACTCTTCATTGCTTCAATTTATCCTGATTATCTTTTTCTTTGTTTTTGTTGACATTTTAATGTTATGTGTTTCACCGCAATTATCAACTTGAGCTAACAATGAGAAGAGCAAAACTAATGGTAGCCATATCTTAGGTTAGTTCACAAAGGATATTACACTTTTAGGGTATCTACCATGGGATTGTAAATTCATTGCAAAAAATAGCATTTCCATTCCATGCCTTCATGAAGATACTGTTGAATTCATGCAGTTGTGGGTTAGCCATTTGGCACGAACCATTTTCATTAGCTTACTCTACCCCACTATTCAATTATCTAAGACCGACCAGATTTTGAGATGGTTTCAATTATGTACCTTATCATGGTCATGGGTATATGTTCCTTCCTGCAAATGATATTCCTATTTCAGCTTGTCTAGAAATTTAATCCATCCAAATCCAATGAGTTCGATGTGGGGTAACTTTTGTTATACTTGATACTTGCCAGGGGTGAGATTCGTAACTCAAGGAATCCATTTCTTATATATCAGGATGTATGGAAGTATGGAACTATGGAAGTAATGTCTTGTTCTTGTAGTTAAGTCTAAAATTCAAAATAAAAATGCAAATTACTGTCCCAGAGTGGAGGTATGCTTGATTGAGGCAAGTTTTTAAAAGGTCTAGAGACTAAATGCTCTTCTTAAAGCTGTAGTTCCACAAGCTCCAAAACATAAAAAGTTACATGATTAAGGGCATATGAAAACAATTAAATAAAGCAGCGACAGCATTAGTTACTTCAAATGCTGCAAATTCCAATTACTAGGCACACATTTACTTCTTGTTGTCTGAGGTTTCAATAAAACACTCGAGATAATGTTAAATATTAGTGATTTTATCCATTCCTTTTAGGCCTGACATTCTATCATTCTTTATTTCCAGAATGTGTAGAGCTTTAATGCCAGGAGATGAAGAAAGCATTAGTGACGATGCTATATGGGAAATGCTTCCAGTAAGTTCACACAAATTGGTGCTCAACATCAATCCATTTTGGGCAAATGCCATATGTGATCTCTTTTCCAGTTCCTCTGTCTGTTGATGCTTATAATTCTGCGTCAATTGTGACTGTTTGATTATTAAATTTGTTATTTATCAGTTGGACTTTATATGGCAACCTATATAGTATGCCAGCAGAACTTCTATTTATAAATTGTTTTTTTTATGTTTTGCTTGCTTTCAAACTCCTGGTGTGGGACTAGAGCTTTAATAGATTAAGAATACAATATCTCTCTGTGGGGGCATTAGTTCATATTTCTTATTTTCGTTTCCTTGTGATATTCAATCACAGAGGTGCTTTGCTTGTGAAATGTGAAGTTTACAGCAAAAATAATATGAATGTTCTTTAGATGATTGTGGAGCATGTCTGAACCTGCATGATAATACTAAATTAATTATCTGATAAAGGCTTATTACTTATTCCTTTCCATCTTTCTAGTGGCAGGCAGTTCAACTTCATACATGGAAACACTTCTTTCTCCTCTTCCCATACGTATATGCCCACCTCCCCTCTTTCTGTCCTCCTTGCTGTTCTCTTTTTTTTCTCTGTCTTACAATGAATCTTGGCTATTCTATTTCCCTACTTTCTAACTGTCACTTCCCCTATTTCTCCTTCTATCTCTGCTGGCATTATTATATAATTTTTCCTCATCATTGTTATTGTGATTTCAACAACCGCAGCAACTACTAATAATTGTCTTCATGGGAACCTTTCCTATGTTAATCCTTGTCAAATAAATCCCTCAACTTTCCCTTGTTGTTGATCTTTTCTCTGCATTATGCATATTACACACCCCAGTTGTTTCTTCTGTGCTGTAGCAAAAAAAAATGATGCATGCCATTTAGTATCTCTGTAGGATTGATGCATGTTTGCAACTTTCACACATTTTTAACAATATATTTTCCTTGCAAAATTTGGATTATGTATCTCATTCATTTGAATTCTTTTAGAAGTTTTGCAAGCAGAGAGAAGTTTCTGAAATGTTGAAGCTGACAAAGATTCAAAAGAAAACAGTTCACAATAGTTAGTACTCAGTAGTTAGATAAGTGTTCTAAAGCTAGATTTTACCATGTAATTTTAGTGACCTGAATCTAGGCTTTTCTAGTGTCACTACCATAAAGAATTAGCTTGTTATGGTCTTCTTTACATTGTGACCCATTTTTTGATTCACTAAATATGAACTCAATTTCCTGAAAGCTTGAAGAAAACCTAGGGAGCCATTCTAGTGTGTTAAAATGTGACAGTTCTGTGAATTCTAGATCATTCGTTTTCTGTGGTTTAGACAAAATTGGTGTGCACTACTTTTGAGTAACATAATGTTAGGTCTCTTCCTGTGCTTTACACATATTGAGGGAATCTGGATATAGAGCAAAAGACAACATGTTCCTAATTGAGCAAGCGATGAAAATGGACAAGCACAGTTAGTATTCAATGAGAATGGTAACTTGCACATTTCATAGTCCATGGTTCCCCATGCTAATTATATATATACAGTAAGATCTGCATTGCATGTTACATCACAGTCTCTTCTTTTATTTACTTTCTGAAGTTACTTATACTAAAATTTTGGCTCTTTTCTAGCACTTCTGGGTTGCAATCTCGATGGTGTTTCTCATAGCTGCTACAGTATTCACCCTTCTTAAGCTATGCGGTATTAAGTCATCTTCGTCATGGTTCTTTGAAGCTCTATTTTGTGCAACTGATTTGAACTTTGCATTTGCTAAACAGCATGTCCTTTTTTTGTCATTCATATTGGCATTACAAACTTCTGCCTTAAAGCTTTGTGTATCCATTTTTCTCTTTGTTTTTTGTGCACATTGTACAAAAGAGATTAGACTAATTGTCCATTGTCGATTACCTTTCCCAATAAATTAGAAAAAATGTCAGCCTGGCTGGTTACCTGAAGAATAAGAAAAATGTCATCCTTAATGTTTATAAGATTTAAGCCATCCGTTACATCTCTATTGACTTTTAACATAGTAAATAAAATAGAATGAAGGAATTCAGGGACTTTCATTAACATTGGCTGCTGTGCTAGTGAACATTGACCACGTATATTATACATCGGTATTGTGGGTCATGGCCTTATCTCATCCTCGAGGTTTCTTTGGTACAGTTAACTGGAACTTGCTCAAGGATAGCCAACTGGTAGTTCTCTAATGCACTTTTCAATAGGGTTAATTATTGAATAGTCATCTCTCACTGTTTGTACCTAAATCTATAAGCTACATTACAAAAAATGATTAACCAGATATATATTGTGAAACAACAATGGCAAAATGGACACATTTTCTGGCAGTACTAGGTGAAATGTTACATGCGGAGTCTTGTCCAATTAGCAACAAAAAAGTTTTTATGATTAGGGCCTGCCCTCTGAACTTTGACATATGGTTATGATCTGTCCATTCTGTTGATTGTCTGTTTATATTAAGATATTTTATTCTATAAAAATACAAAGTTTTCCTTGAGAAACATGCATCTGATTCCCTCTTTCACTGTGTAAGAAATAGATCCATGTTTATTTTGTCACAGGTGGCATCTTGATGTTTGTAAGCTGGCATTGGACTTCTTGAATAATATTTTAATCCTGTTAAAATGGTTCAAATATAAAAGATTTGTTGGATAGTTTTTGCACAAGAAAAATGGATCCAGGAAAATATTGACCACATAATATGCTTCATCCTTGAAGTTTGGATACTTGTTTTAAAAAAGGAACAAAGCAAAGAAAAGGAAAACAAAACTCCAACAAGGAAGATTGTATTGATTATATGAGCTTAAAGAATGGAATACATCCTTACAAGATGACATAATGGTGAAAGTTTGGGTCTCTAAGATCATCAATGTATATTAAATATAAAAATAAGGTTGACAAATTTTGTGATCCACCAAAGTATAGAATGGGTTTGTACTACCATAACTTGAGTTTAAGCATTTTAAGTTGATAAAGTTGATAAATCTATTATCTCATCGAGTCAAATGTCAATAAATGATATCATAGTGGACTTAGCATTAGGCATGATGAGAGACCAAGTGGAAAACATTATAAATGGATGGACCAGAGACACAACACAACTTGGAGTCACCGCCAAGTTAGACCTCACGTACATCATACTAGGGTCTGGTTTTGGATTATGGTTTGGGTTTTGATGAGGGAGTCAACACTTAAGTGGTGGAGATTATGACACTCGAATTTATTCTGGATCATAGGTTTTAAGCCATCAAGTTAGTGGGCCAATCATCCCATTGGATTGGATCATCATAAATGGTGTCAGAACAAATATAGCTAATTGTGATAGCATACGTATGATGTGACCTCATTATCATATCGGGATATAACATTATGGTATCTAAGTGGATCTCGTGTTGATCATGGTTAGTCCAAATAGAAAAAGACTATCAGTGAATAAGGCTAGTGGGACATCGTAGTCTCGTGTCTTGTTAGGGTTTGATTTTGAACTACAATTTGACCTTTGACTAGGACATCAAACCTTTATTAGGAGAGATTATGATACAGTTTATTCCTACTCTAGAAGTGGTAGAAGATTTTGTGTTGGTTTATATGGTTCGTCTGAGTCTATTACTGTTAAGTTGAGTTTTAAGTATTTTGAACTAATGATTTGTGCTTATCAAGTTAATAGGTTAATGATTTCATCAAGCCAAGTTGTGACGGTTTTATAATACAACACTCTTTTTCCTTTTTTGGGATGACTTGGACAAGTTATGTAGAGTTGGTTGCTAAAATGGATGGCATAATTGTCAGTATGTTTCTCTAACATGGCATGTATATGCACCACCAAACAAGTGATCCATGTTTAAACACCGCCCAGTTCTTCTCATCACTGTACAAGACCAGAATTAATTCTGGCAATATCCAGGACAAAATGTGGACTCATCTATTATGTGAGTTTGTTCTACTTGATTTCTTTGGAAGAGTATATCAGTGTCTGACTGTCATTAATCTCTCAGTATAGGTAGGTTAATGTAGCCTAAGTACCAGTAGACAATATATTTCAGCTAGCAGTTAAATATGTGTAAGACAACTACGATACTTTGTAATGGTATTTTGCCTTAAAAGAATGTTATCATTTTCTTTTTGGTATGCTGCAGGTGATGTTGATGCTTTTGGATGGTGGGAGCTGTTTATCAATTTTGGGTAGCACTCATTTTCCTGCACATTAGTTCCCTTTCCAAGTAGTCCATTTATCTCTTCTTATCCTATCTACCATTTGCAGAATTGCAGAATTTTTTGCTTTTCTTATTTGCACAAAGTGGTCTAATCAGATGATCCATAGACATCCTTATCATGGAGAAGCGTGTTCATCTTCTACCACAATTAGGTACCGTGACTGGAATAGTGGCCTTTTGCTCTCTTCTATGGAGGAACATGATCAGGACAGGTTATGCAGTCTGCAAGATGTAGGGGGCCATATAATGAAGGTTCCTCTTGTAGTTTTCCAGGTTTTGCTATGTATGCGCTTGGAGGTATGTTGGTAGAAATTTTGCTTTACATCAGAATTTTTTATATTTCTTCCAATTATAAATGTTTGCTTTTTTTCTCAACTTTTTTGCATACTTCCAAATATTAATGATATGCTTGTTCATTTAACTAGTCACTCTCCTTTGTGGGAGCATAATCAGGTGAACTAGTATAAAATATAGTGATGATTGTGTGTGTGTTAAAACCACTATTAATTGTGCAAATGAATGAGAACTTTGTGCATCTCATGCAAATGTTGTGTTATAAGGTGTATTTTGACAACCCAATTTGTATGTAGATTCTATGAACAAACTATGTTCCAGAAGATGTAAAATTTTGCTTGACTTTCACTCAAGATGTTTTAACCTTGTACAAAATGATGTGGGGATGTCGGTTATGCCATATTTACTAACAAGTGGAAATAATGCAAAATGTAGGGATTTTGTATATGGTAATTTCTTTAATTTTTGGTTGTGATATTAGAGCACTTTCAGCTTGCAACAAGCATCAGAGGCTAGTATATTGTCATTGTGGCATTGGGATCATGGGCATTAGTGACCGGTATGATATAATGCTGGAGGCACGTGGAGATTTGCCAGCTCATGGTGATCCCATGCCCAAAAATTTAGATGGGAACTACCACCAGCATGTGCTTGTTTGGTGTGCTATACTCGGAATGGCTGAAAATGTAATCAGTAGTGGAACTTGAAATGCCTGTTTGGGGGGCCAGGCTAGAAGCATTACCATGTCCATAATGTAATATATTCTTCTGTATTATATATACAAATAAGTAGTGTTGGTACTTTTTTTAGCCTAATTACTAATTATTGTACTTTTTTATAGCAAGGTTCGCTATATTGTAATATATCGTTCTGTACGGGCGGTATGTACCGGTTCGATGGGGGACTAGTATGGGCAGTACATACCGATACGTTGGTATGTCTCACCATACCATGTGTCGATATGTTGGTGCGGCTCAATACATACTGTGCTAATAGCCGATCGGTACATTGATACAGACCGGTAAGGCGAACCTTGCTTTATAAGACAAGTAACTAAAAGTATTCCTAATCATTTATTAATGAGCATTTAGTTCTATTATCAAATTTATCTTAGAATCTAACAGAAGAGTGGATGTGATTTAAATTGCCAAATAGCTAGTTGGTTCAACTAATTAGGAAACTTAAACCCAAAAGAAATCAAACTTTCAACTATTTATATCGATTTAGTGATTCAATTCTTCTGTAATAAAAAAACTATTTTGCTGTCAATTGGAGATTTAGGATTTGAAAACTATGAATCCAATATAACTCAAAATAAAGATGCTACAATTTTTTACTCTTTTTTGTTAATCTTTCATCTCGAAAAGATGTTAAATTTAGAACTTTGTTAAATGATGACATTGATTAGGGTAATAGTAAACTTTTTTACTCTTTTTTAGTTGATCTTTCATCTCTAAAGAATATTAAATTTAGAACTTTGTTAAATGATGACATTGATTAAGTTAATAGTTCCAAAAATCTTTGGAGGTGCTGTGGCCCCTGCTAGTATCCACTAAGATCGGCCCATGAGTGTAATCCATGACTTGAAGTATCTTTAGAACTAAAAGCATATATAACAAAAGCTGTATAATTTTTGGAATTTGTTGCTAGAACTAGAAAGGAAAATAACGGAATTAATTTACAAGGTCATCAATTTTCCTTTTGTTGTTTATGGAGCTGGATTAAGAACAACTACATTTTATGTGTGCAATCAAGAAAACTTGAATTTTTTTTAAATGTCATTTTTGGTAACTGCTGGATCAAGATCACTTAACATTTTATGTTTACAATCAAGAAAACTTGATTTTTTTAAATGTCAGTTTTTGTAACTTCAGATTGTGGTTTTGATATGGTCTCTTTATTTGTAGTTTTTCAAGTCATGATTCTCTTTTGTCCGCTAGATCTGTCCCTTCTAAATATATGAATTAGTTCACAGAAAAATATGCATGTTTTTATGTGAAAACCCTTCTTCAAAGAAGAAAGAATTCAATATGGCCGTGAAACATTTAGTTCAGTTGTGCATTTTAGTGGTCTAAGCCTACACGTAGAAGAGAGACAATTTCTAATGCATATAGATGATTAGTAACAATTAGTGTGTATATGTGCCATGAAACAAGTGGTAACTATTGGACATGCTTTCGTGGAATTATTGTTATACGACTATTATTGTAGAGATATTATTCAATTATATTAGTAAAAGCTTTAGATATCTTTGATCAATTATTCAACAAGATGGAGAGATTGATGAAGATATTATTCATAGAGTAAAAACAGGATGGTTAAAATGATGAGGGACGTCATATGATATCATCGAATACCTTTGAGATTAAAAAAAAATTTATAAGATAATTGTGAGGCCAATAATGTTATGGATCTGAGTGTTGGGAGTAGTTAAGAAAAAATATATACAAAAAGTCTGTGTTGCCGAGGTGAGAATATTGAGATGGATGTGTGGAGCCACTAAGAAAGATAGGAAAAGAAATATTTTTGCTCGTGAACAATAAAATATCACTTTGATAAAGGATAAGATGAGAGAAAATCATTTAAGATGGTATGAGCATGTGTTGAGGAGATCTTCGGATGCGGTAGTCAGAATAGATGAAATAATTAATGTTAGTGGTACGATGAGAGGTAGATGAAGACCTAAAAAAACTTCAATAGAAATTATAAATAAAGATTTATGTATTTTGAACTTAACTAAACATATGAATTTTTATAGTTCTGAATTTTTACTTTTTATTAATGTTATTCATGCACCTATCTAGACTCTTTAGTTCTTTATTATTTTTCATATTTATTTTTATTCAATATCATTATAACTTAATATGTTGATTTCATGGATCCACATAGTGCTCATGCTGAGATGTTAGTACTTGCTGATATTTCAGGGAACACCACCTGGTGCTCGGCATATTCCAAGTTTTGCTCTTTTCTTGCCATTATTTCTTTTGCAAGGTGCTGGTGTCTTATATGCTGTTTCAAGATTAGTGGAGAAGCTTGTTCTTTTACTACATAGTGGAACAATTGATAGTAGATATCTCCGGATTTCATCAAGAGTTCATGATTTCTTTGCTTTCCTACATCATGGTTCAAGGTACTGGTTTAGTTGTTCACCAAGTAATCATGATATTTTAATATCTAGATGATAGAATTGTAACAGCTTTTTTGGAGCATTGTCATACCTTATTCTAACTAATGCAGACTGCTGGGTTGGTGGCCAATCGATGAGGGAAACAAAGAAGACCAAGCTCGCTTGTTTCATGCTGAAACCACTGGGTATTTCTCGCTTCATTTTCATACTCATAAGTTGTTTTCTATCTTGTCTTTTGAGGAATTTGTTTTTATGCTTAATCTAAGTCAAACAGACTATAGGGTGGGGAACCTGCAATCCGCTGTTCTGATTGACTTTAGGTGCATGAACTATGACAAACTTTGTTGATCTAATCTAGAACTCTTTCCACCCAGGCCATCCCCATTTTAGAAACATGAATAACAACCTGGCATTAGTCTGCCATTGTCACCTATTGAGAAGCCCACCAGTGCTTTTATCACATAGGGAACTTTGATATATCTTGGTAACTTAACATAGTTAGCTTTGTGGAAATAAGGTGAGGGCATCTTCTTCAATGCTAATTGCATTATGGATTACTTGTTTTCTGCAATAGTGAATTTAGTTAGATTCTGAAGAGAAGGAAATGAATGGATCACACTATTAAGATTGTTTAATGCCAACAAAGAAAGCTTAGAAGAAAATTTGGCATGGTCATATCTTCTAGATCAAATTCCCAGTTTTGCAGTTATGCTAGAGTAGGGCTGGCAAACCTGCAAGTATTCTACAGGCGATGCTGTCAAGTTTAAACTATTGTCCTTGTATGAAAAAGGGAAGGGTAATCTGCTCGTTTAACTAGATCTCTGAGACCAAATTGTGTTGTTAGTCATGCACAATTTTAACATTTCTCCTTTTTCTTGAATCTTCATCTTCTTTCCGATCTCTTATTCATCATATGCATTTACAAATTAGATTTTAATTAATTCTCTCTTTCTGAATATAAGCAGGTAGTTTTCTGACAATTCATGTTGAAAAGCCTAATTACCTGTAGGCTCTGAAATTAGTTGTACCTGCGGACATGCTCAAAGAACTGTGAGGTAACTTTGGATTTTCCCAAAATGAACAAAAAGCTATGGTCAACAAGTATAAAATTGATCCACAGATCATTTAGAATTAGAATTTTAATATAGATTATAAAATGGATGATATTATCTACAGTGACAAGTCCACTTCATGATATTCATGCAAGTTTTATAAGAAGATTTGAACATGCTGAGAATATGCAAAACAAGGCCAGGCCATGTCTTTTAGCTTCATCGCCTCCTTGCACGATTGCATTAGCTTCCAAAAATAGAGAAGAAATGGCCTTGGTTCTCATGGCTCCTGCACAACAAACCATTACAGGATCAGTTCAAATCAAGCATCTAGTCCTCTGATTTTTTTTTTGGATCAAAATATTTATTGCAGTAATAAATATTTGATCATGATGGATTTTTTTAATATTAATTTTTATCAAAACCTTAATAAACTGTAGTACCCTGAAACCATATCCAGACCATCGTGGCAGATCTGGCTAGGATCGGAACATTTCCTCGAAATGCTTGGAGTGGAATTTAATATCATCTTTCTGCTAACTGAAGTGTTATCTGCAGGTACGACACTTTCTGTGGGTATCCACCTGAGGTTGTCAAGAAAATGGCAAAGAAGGATCTTGCAGAGGAGGTTTAGTAGATTCTATAGTTTCTATTTGCTTGGCCACTAAATTACCAAGGTTGAGTACCACAGATTCTATTTTGGCTTTATTTTTGTAACTTCGTGTATGTCAGGTTTGGAGACTGCAAGCAGCTTTGGGAGAACAAGCTGAAATAACAAAGTATAGCCAGCAAGAATACGAAAGGCTTCAAAATGTATTAATTCTAAACTTGGGTAGAAATGAACTTGTAAATCAGCTCGTGTTAAGTTGTGATAGAACTTATAACATGATGCGTAGTTTGCTTTTCTTTTTAGCATGATGCGTGATTTATAGTGCAGCTATTCTGTTTTGAGTTTCTGGAAATTTTTGTACGGTATTTATGGATATGCTTGTATTTTCCAGGAGAAAGTGCTCTGTAGGATTTGCTTCGAAGCAGAAATATGCATGGTCCTCCTTCCATGTCGGCACCGAATTCTTTGCAAGTACATTCCGGCACCATCTTTATATGTTATCAATAATTTGATGTGTTTTCTAGGAGTTTGTTTCTGCTTTTTGAGTGCTGAATTTATTTGCAGGCGCTGCTCGGAGAAGTGCAAGAAGTGCCCGATATGCCGTATTCCCATCGTGGAGCTGATGCCTGTATATGACGTTTGAGCTCCCACAGGTCACAAGTATATGAAATTGCGTGTTCATAGATGTACATAATTGGAATGTTTTTAATTCCATGGGGGGGCTGAATTCAAGTCTAATTAGGTTTGTTAACACACAATCAGAGACTGCTTAACCCTTTTGGTTTCCTGATCAGTGTTTTATGTAAGTCTAGTCCTACATCAAAAGTGAATAAAGATTTATAAGGATTTGCTGAGTATATATTAAATGTTTTGGATTATTAGTTGAGATTTAATGAAATTAATAAGTCAATTATCCCATCATATGTTAGGAGGTAGTGACAATTGGTATTTAGAGTTAATTGTGACATAGTTAGGAGGCTTGATTTCAAGTTATGTTGGGGCCTTAACCAGAATGTCAAGCTCATGATTTATTCTTGCATTTAAAGTAAATAAAAATTAAAACAAAGTTGTCATTTATTAGGCGATCACCAGGAAGATAGTCATTTTTCAAGTCGACTATTTCAACTTGATTGTGATGATGCTTCACAATCACGATGGTCATCATTAAGTTGGACGTGCCATCAAGACAACCACTTCAAAATGATCGCACCATCGTCCTCAAAAAGACCTCAAGTGGATCGTACCATCATGGCGGTTGCTTCTTTAAGACAATCTTAAGTTGGATGCACCTTTATGATTCCTTAGGTGGTCGCACTGTCAAGATGATTATTTTAGTTTCAGAAGTTGTTTCATCCCTTCAAGCTAGACTTGATCTTGATTTTAGTTTCGAAATTGAACGTCTAACTTTAGTTTCAATTAACAATCATCGAGTTTTGATTTTAGCTTGAATCATCAAGATGATTGCATCTCCACTAGTTCTTTCAAGCTAGACCTGACCTCAATTCTAGTTCTTAAAATTTGGAATCCAAAATTGAATTGTCTAAGGTTAATTTTGGTTTTTAAAAATAAAAAACATAACTGAATTTCCTAGCTTCGATTTTAATTCGATTTGAAATTGATTAACC